GGGGGGATAGAAAAAGTTTTTAAAAGAAGAATAGGTGCTTACCTAGGTCAATCTATTGCTTGAGCTAGCAGGGAATGAAAATATCTCAATATTGGATTTTCCTTATTTTTGGTACATACAAAATAAACCTGCTATATAAATAGTGGAAAATGAAACAAGTAATCGACATTTCATACCTTACCAAAATTTAGAAAACTGAAATAAATGACTTAGGAAATAGTGTCTGAAGTGTGAGTGTGAAGATAAAGAAATAACCTCAATGTTGTATTGCAGAGGTGAGCAAACTATTTTTTACTATATTACTATTTTGTGGTCTGTTTATAAGCCTGTAGTTCTAAAAGTTGTTTGCTTAGAAGTCTTGATGAAACTGACTTCATCCTAAAAAGTGTAATACACTGCATGTTATGGCTGCACTGGATCGTTCATCCTCGTTCATCCGAACAAGTCTAGCGTGTAGTTAATGATAGTGGTTCAATCTCACTTTGCCTGTCTCGAGTGTGTATTAAAGTTGAAGTGGACTCTTTGTATATTTATTACGTGCCAGGTCAGCTGATGCACTGCATCGTTCAGTTGTGTACTGCGTCTAAACAAAATAAATCTGCAAAGAACAAGCCCTCCCAGATAACTTATTTGATTTATAATCAAACTGTGCGTTCTTTGCATGGATCATTAACTTTTACTCAGTTTTGTGTTTATTTTATGTAAATGTTATTGACTATGCTGCATTTTTTAACAGCTGAATTGTACGTCTCTATCAATATTCAAACTATTCTGGTCCAGACTTTCTGAAAAAAAAGTATCCATGTTCCTCTCAAAAAATATTTTTATTTTGTTAAATTTATATTTTTTTTCAAATGATCCTTTCAATTTCAATTTCCTTTAATCTGATAGTTATAATATTAATTGTAGGTTGTTTTTGAACGAGTCGGAAACGTGCGTGTCATGTTGTCATGTGTGTTGTGTGCAGCAAAAGTGTGAGCGAGAATGCACTCCTGTCGAGAAGCGGAATTGCGTGTGAATGAACTGTGTTGCTAGTGTGAGACGGTTGTAGTTAGTCTGGTTACACATCGGCCGGTGGTTAGTGTGTGTGGACTGTAAAAAAAAAAAAAAATCCGTAAAAGAAGATCTATAGCTGAAGAAGAATATCTCAATGACCTGACGTGCGTACAGGTAAGAACCAGCTATCTTGTTACATTAATTAAAATAAGTTATAATTTGATTTTAAAAAAAAAAAGGTACATCAGAGGATAAAGCAAAACGTTTGTGTGTAGTCTACATGACATGAAGGTGCCATGAGCCGGCGGAAGCAACTACGCACTAGGGTTTTTTTCTGGTTTTTTTTTTTTTTTTTTTTGGGGGGGGGGGGGTGAAAATTACGAAGGGAGTAATTAAAAATTCTTTTTAAAAGAAACAAAATTGAAGCTGCGCGCTCATATGACCTTAGCAGTTGCGAGCGCCGTAAAACCTTATACTATACCTAAAATTGAAGCTGCAGAAAGACTCAACGCTTTACCTCTTCGACCCTCGTGTCGATTATTATAAGGAATGTAACTGACCAAACAGACGCGGCTCTACCCAGATCTAGCAGACAATTTCTTTACAATTGCAATACCGGTAGCGTCTCTCTGTAAATCCCCCTCATCACCCCCCTCCCCCCGACCATCTCCGCCTTCCTCAAACTCAAACAATAGCGTCTTCCTTTTAAACACCTTTCCGGCTCCCCAAACTTAAGTGTCTTCAGCGTCGTCCCTGTATCAGCCCCCA